AAAGTTTTTATTTATGTTTAGGTAAATTATATATTTAGGTAATGAATTTTTTTGCATTAAAATAAAGCTAAAAACAACTGAAATTAAAATTAAATTAAAATTTAATTTCACGCGCGCGCGCGCGCGCGCGTGTGTGTGTGTGTGTGTGTGTGTGTAAAATAATTCAAAATTATTTGTAATTCTGTACATAAAATAATATATTTTTATTTTTCATTATTTTGTAGATTTGGATAATAAATGTTAAAATACATACATACATAAATAAAAATGAATTATTAAATGCAAATTTTATAAACATGAACACACTATGTTACCGACCTAATGTATCAGTTAATTTTCGTGGAAAGTCTCACAGAGAGCGTGGATATGTTATTCCTTGCTAGAGCAGTGGTTCGTAAGAGTAGCAGATAACAAACGTTATCTTCTTTCAACAAATTTTAGTAATCATTAACATTTTATAAACTAAAGAAGAAAATATGATTATATATTAGTATATATGATTATATATTAGTATATACTAATTTATTCTAACATGCACACATTAAATTTTAATTTAATTTTAATTTCAGTTGTTTTTAGCTTTATTTTAATGCAAAAAAATTCATTACCTAAATATATAATTTACCTAAACATAAATAAAAACTTTTGCCTATTTTTAATTTATTAATTACATTGTAACTTTTTTCTCACTCCCTTGCAAATGAAGCAAATGTAAGATACAATCAACACAAATTTTCAAGCAAATGTCAAAAGTGCAAACTCGCAATGTTTATTAAAAACTTTCGCTAAAGCTCTTAATAAAAGACAACGCATTGCAGTTACATCTAATTCCGCATTGCACTGATGAAAGCCGGTCGTGTTTCGCATCATATTACTGTATCCAATATGTTACTCCTGTTATCTTCATTATTAGTACATTTTTAAGATAAAATGTTTATTTACATACGATTTGTCTGTATCAGCAAAGTGAGATATTTCTATGTGATGACTCACGAATTTATTCTATATCGGAACGCGATTGAGATGCTAATTATTAAGCATGCGCCTCTACTTATTTTTGCCTACATTTATCAAACTTGATACATGTCGAAATTTATTTATCAGCAAGTTAACTCCAGGTCAGTAATTATAACCGATACTCGCGATTTGTTTTCTAATCTCTGTGCCTTTTTGCCGATCTATCTTAACATCGAACTTTATTCCGTTCCGTTTCCATCATGCGCGTGTTTGCAAAGTAAATAAAAGTTTATTGGGGCTTTCACTGATTAAATCGACTGTGTGATATAAATCGGAACAGTGTGTGTTAGCAACCGCGATAGTTTCGTGAGATGCACGTAGAAGTTTAAATTAAACATTTTTCATTTAAACTTCGCATCTCTGTAAATAATTTCCTACGGTAATTAGAGAAAAGCAATTAATCTTTTCTTTCTAAACATACTTTGAAAAGTACGATAAATAATAGTTATTGTATTAATATTGATATATAGTAATAATTAATATATAAATTAATTTTCTCCTGCTGATCATGATCGATAGGATTTCTTTCTTGAAATAATAAATTGGAGTATAAAAATTATTATATTTCTTCTTGAAATAATATAATAATTTTATAAATAAATAATTATTCTGTTTCTATTATTCTATAAAGAAATAAATAATATTGGAAAGATAAAAATCGTCTATGGGATAAGATAAATGTTCTTACAATTATTATTACAGAATTTATCATAATTTTAAATATAATAAGAAGAAATGTTGATTCGTTGTAATACTCGGTATGTATAATAAACACAAAATATATAAAATAATCTAGTAGTTAACTAAAAAATAAAATAAAAATTTGCTCGTTCAATATAAGATTCAGTAAAATATTCGAATAAATTGTATATTCTAATAATTCGAAGAGAAGAAATATAAGATTTAACAGTTCAAGTTTTAATATAGTTCACGTCAAAATTCTTTTGAATTTTAGAATCCAAAAACTTTTAAACCCTTGAAAGTTGCGTCAAGGAAACTTTTTTCGTATAAATCCATTCCGAATAGGAATAATCAGTTTTTATTTCTTCTCTTCTCACCATTCATTATCTATCTTCATTTTATTCGAAAGTTTTGACTCAACACAATTTTCACAAATTTCAATCGTTTAATCTTCAGTTTCGAAACGGCCGAAAGTGTTTGGCTGTAGAAAGTTCGAACCGTTCGAGCCAGTTCGACCGCCGGAATATTCCGAGCATTACTTCTGGCGATACGATACATTCCACGCGTGTGATGTAATAACTTCAAAGGCGGCAGATCTCGTTCTTGCCGACAAGATGTAGAGGAAACTGAATGACGGTCACGAGCGGCACATGCGCGCAGGGGAAAAAGACGGTATCGAGCCAGACGGCTGGTTCACCCGTTAACAGAAACGGCAGCGTCAGTTTCTTCCATCGCGTCTGGAGGACGTCCGGCTCCGGAGCGTAATTTTACGCGCGTAGACGTCCGTGTCCAGCTGTTACTCTCACCTTTGCACTTTGAATTTTTCGCCGCACGCGTGTGTCCGCGGTGCTGATGTGCGCGCGGAGCTACGTCGGAGGATGAGATTGCCGCCGTCGTCGCTGCCGTTTTCGTCGTTCGACGAATAATTACGCGCGGGCGGGGAACCGATTCAGCGGTAAGACCGACGAATTCGCATCGTGAATTCTCCAGACAGACGTGCGAGACGAGGTATACGCGCGGATGCGCGCGCGCGCGCGCCGCCCGCGTATACACGCGCACGCGTGTACGGACGACGTCTCATTGATGTTTCTGTGCGCGATCATGAGACGTGTCACGCGTGCCGCGCTCTTGCACGCGTATACAGGCCGCACCGGTTGAAATTTCGTTTCCGCACTTTTGCGTACCAGCGCGTGACATTTGACTTCCTATTCGCATTTCCGCGTTGCGCACATCTTCAAATTTTTGCTTTTGTTAGTAAAACTTCATTGGTTCTCTTTAAAATTCATATTTTTAAATTGTTTTTTACTCGACGCGATGAAGCACTCGCTTTTAACATTAAACAGTAGTGGGCCCAACATTTCCATCCATCGGGTCGTTCCGAATTAAGCGGCGCCTTGCTTCAACGCTCTATACGTAATTAATTTGCATATAAAGGGTGTATCATGAAGATTGAGCTTGGACGTGATGTATCAAAGGCATTATCGCTTCCTACTTGCGCAATATTATAACCGCTAATTACTCGGACCATTACGAAGGCGAGGACGCGTTTGCAATCCACTTTCTCTGGTCGTAATAGATTAAAACGCTCCAATGTGCGACTGTGACACCAGCGATATTATTAAAGCGATTCCCACGAGGGACGCATTGTTCGCTAAAAGGAATGGGTCAGTCATTCAACGATCATCAACCAGACGCACCGTGCACGCATGTATTCGCACGCGTAACGCCACGCCGACTCGCTCACACTGCGCTTTCTCTTTCTGCCTCTCTATCCTTCTCTTTTTCTCCTTGTACTTTTTCACCTTCCTTCGCTTCTCCGATGATCGCCGCTCGCCTGTGCGTATCGCTCATGCGTGCTACCACACACGCTACGCATTTACGCGCCATCCGGCCTCACGTACACACACTCGCGCGAGTGGAGGAGCGACGACGACTTGCTAATTAGCAGCGCCGCGCTATCGCCGCGGGAGATAAGCCGTGAATAAGCCATGAGATACTAGGTGTGCAAGATAGAGGCAGCATCGACGAATATCGGGACGTGACCCTGACTGCAGACTTCCCGAGGGAAGGATTTTCGAGGTCAAGGGAATCCGGAGGCGCCGCCTCGTCGTGCGCGAACATCATGGCATTTCCTCGCGAGGTCAGACCAGGTCGATTGTCCGTTCGACATCTGATTCTTTCTTTATCATCATCCACTCGCGAGTGTCGTATTCGCCGAAGACGTGTCACGACGTGCCATCTCTTTACATCCCTTCGTAATCTTGGCGCGATTGCTGAGAAAACTGAATAGCTCGAGTATCGCTGTAGCGCGTGTCTCAAATAGGCGCCAATTTCACAGGCACATTCTTCAGTTAAAATGGAGCAACAGTTCCAACGAGTCGTTTAATTTCTTCGAATGATGTGTATATCTCTATTTATATGTGCAAAAAATTCGCACATATCGATCATAAAATGCTACTTCTTGTTCCTTTTTCCTTCTTGCATATATTGAGGATGTACGAAGAGTCAACGTTTATTTCAACAGCTTAACAATTGGAATAATTATATCACGAAATTTTTCTGTTATCTTCTGATTGCTTTGTGCATAATAAAAGAAACGCGACGTGATTCTTGGAATAATATCGACACGAAAAACGCAATAAACTGGAAGGAAACTTTAATTACGCAATTGTTCAATTGAACGGTGATCTCACGAGAAACTTTATTGCGAAGCAAGTTTTATCTTCCGTTGGATTAAACGCAAAATTGTTAATCTTAAACGTAAGTTATTCGAATGTATACGTCGCAATTACAATTGCAATTGCAAGCCGCAAATTGAAAATTCGAATCTAAATCGTCCGAATATTTTGGAAAGTTCGAATCTATTTCTTGATATACTTGCGATCTTCCGGCGAGTTCTGTATCATGAGAGAAATGGTAAATTTTAACGATAAATGATTACGAACTGCGAATCATTGGAGTTTCTCTCGCGTTAACCACACGGAATGAAAACACGAGGCGAGTGAATTATGACCACAAACATATTGCATAACGCATTTTTCAGCTAGAAGCTATCTGCCATGTACTCGGAATCGTTGTATGGCCGATAATAATAAGAAACATAATAATTAGCATTTAATAATAAAAATAGTTAATAATAACAAAGATATATAGTATTATTTGTATTGAGAAGCGTGATAATCTATGAAATGACCTGATTCAATTATCTTAGAATTATCAAAGAGAAAATATAACTTTCTTTTATGTATGACATGTTCTGAATGTATAACATGTAATATTAATTATTGAATAATTACTAAATTAATATATCTTTTCTTCTCGCAAATGTTAATTTGTGTATAATTTTTTAATTATAAAATTATAATTATAAAATCCTGCTATTTTATCTTTTTTCTTTTCGAGGACATTTGTATTCTTTCCTCTTTATCATTTTTTCTACTTTTTGTATATTCTCTATAATACATAAACATACACAATGTCTGTTACATACACAATGTCTGTCACAATGTCTAGTTACATAATAAAAGTATATCTATTTAAAAACAGAGGCAGTCAGGTCATAAGCCTCATTTGTTTCTATTTTTCCTAAAGTGGTTATTAAATGCATTAAACGATTGAGCGGTCAATGTCGCAATGGTATAATAATCTCTACAGCTCCGGAAGTAATATAATTATTGATCCGTATTAAACAATTCAATTATGGTAATTTAGAAATGAATTTTTTGTAAGAGATTTTGTTTAACTCTTGTGTTTTCTTCATTAATAATAAATTTTAAGTGCCGATATTTTCTGCACTTTATTAATAATTTTGGATAGCAACATCTAAACATTAATTTTTAATAGTTCTTATATTCTTTAAAAATTAATATTATATTTTATGTAGTAATAAATAAGTATATAAAATTATTAAAAATATGACTATAAAATAATTCCCATTAATAATAAAAATTAGTTACATAAATAACTCCTTGTTATATTCTAGAAAACAGATTAATTACAAAATAATACTGTAACAAATATATAATATGTTTCTTTCAACAAACAACAATTAGTAAAAAGTAATAATTATTATGACAGATTATATTTACATTATGTATGATGAAAAAGCTTATTTTACGTTAAAAAGACCAAAATGAAATAAATAATGTGAAAATATATTCATATAACTAAGTTATATACGCATATGAGAGAAAGTCATTAAAATTTTCGCAAATTTGCGTTCATAATTGCATTAAATTTCTGGAAGTCAGAGCTTTTGTGTTAAATATCCTGTAATTATGGGTAATGAAGCATTATATTTGCCTGAAAGTTTCCTATGCTTACCGATGCAACAAAAGTTAAACGTGAGCAGCAACATGTGTGATGTATATTAGATAACATGTAGGACATTCACGAAATCATGTTTGATATATGAAGATTGACTGACTTATAATGATGCAATTTAATAAGGACAATTATTAGATAATTATTAGATAAAGCTGAGAGGAAAATAAATCTAAAAGATAATGTTACTGTGAGATTATGAATCAGTTTTTGTTTCTTCCATTACGAAATTACGCTACTTAATTTCTCTGCCGTCGTGCTAAATAAATGATTCATGCTCCAAAGACACACTATTTATCGTCTAGGCTCCGAAACTATTTGTACTATACCGAGAATAGCTTTCAAAATTATAAGTTCAAAATTTTAAGAATGTTATATTATCAATTTCAAGAATGTTATATTATTTCAAAATTTATTTTGAAAAAGATATTACTTCTCAAACATTGCTTTTAAGTTAAATATTAGACAATAACGTACTTTGAGATTATTAATATCACCGATGTTTATCAATGATTAACTATGACCATACAGACTTATCTTAATCAAACCGATTTCTTATCTTCAGTTTTACTTTCATCCGCCATCTTAGTGTTCTCAATGCCGCGTTAACGAGCGGTGGAAATCGTGATAGTCATAAATTATAACGCATCGTTAATATGGTCGGCTCGTGGGAATGTGCAGGTTGTCGGGCGCTAAGAACATTTTCATCGTTTGCCGAAGAGAAGAGGCACAGCGGCGCGAATCATACATACGTTATAGTATTTTCGTAACGTTTCGTCTGTTTATGCGCCCCGTACACACACGGCTGTTTATATAGACACACGTTTGTATGCCCACTACCAGTTGTATATCTGCAAGATACACTTCGCTGGCCGATTACATGGAACATTTTACATGGAACATTTTACAGATACTCGCATTAATGGTCGGCATTCGCGCTTGCACTCGGCGCTTGAACATTCGAATATCTCTTCCAAAGTATGCGAACACCATTATTATACCTCCTCACATCGCAATACATCCTTGCACCGCAATACTTTGTAATATTTCATGAAAGTTATTATTTCGTCCGCGATCAATTCGCAGTACACGCGAAACTGCGATGTCAGCCGATGATCAAATTGCAGTCTGACAAGTTGCAGTAGTCGAATTTCTTCTCTGTGAAATCAACAGTCACGATAAATTCGTTGCCGCGAGTAGAAAACATCCGGGAAGATGTGGCTAATTCTCGGAAGTTGCGGTTGTTGATGTCGCAAATGGCAAGTTTTGGCAAGATTGAAAGTTTCCCATTGGAATCTCTGCGTTTATCTTTTCCAAAAACTTGTTTTATAGTCCTATCTCGTAATTTTGCGTATCTCTCTCTGTCTTTCCTTCTTCAACAAGTTATAGGTCAAGGTAATTAAAACTATAGAGTTGAATGTTATTCCTTGAATGTTTTCCTTTATACATACATACATACATACACAACTTGCCAAATTGATTTATATACTGAATGAAAAATAACTGTTTTTTTTGTATGTCAGGATTAATTTTTTTATTCTAATTTATTAAATATCATCACACATTTTTATAATAATAGTACTTGTGCATCTATATACTATAAAGAATATTTGCAAAATGCAGTACTAAACAATTTTTATGTTGATGATAAAATGTGCAGGCCATCACTACAATATGAGCATTTTTATCTTCATATACCTCATTTATTAATGTTTACTCTTTCTCTCTTATGATTTTATGATTTGCAGCCATATCTACGTTATTACCAATACACAGAATTAGCATTTATAGTTTTCTTACACATATTCTTGCACTTGAGTCATTTTTAATTTTAAACTTTATTCAAAATGAAAATCTTAAAGATCTTATTACAATCTTAGCACTTAGTATCCCGGACGCTCTCCCGGAAATTCCCAAAGATAATTTTATCGTTGAAGTATCTTTAGATTTACGGATTGAAAATCATAGTTTGCTATATCTAATAATAGATCAAAATGCAAGTGTTTTGGATTCCGGAAACGCAATGACAATTTATTAGAACAAGAATATGTGTTATTGCCAAAATTTTTTAGAATATGAATATACTCTTACAAGAATACAACGTGATGTTACGTTGATTTCAAATATTTCTTATAAAATTATATTTTAATAATAAAGATAACATAAAATGCTATTGAAATATGAGAACGATAAGTATAAATAAATCTGTCAATGAACATTTATTATATTTTATAGAAAGAAAATTGTTATAGATTTTTTATGCTCACTATTGTAATATTGTGAAATTTGAGTTACAGAAACTTTTTAGAGGACCAGTTATTTTCTACGCGTAACTGAGAGTTTGTCACAAATATTTTTATGATCGCGCTTAAAAATATGTACTTAATCGTAAGTGCCTTCTCATGTTGGCGCACGGTAACGGAATATGGCGTCCAGCAGCTTCCATTTCCTGATACACTAATTAAGATAAGTCGCGATAAACCTTGGGATATCCGTTGACGATATACATGTTGATATGAATATCTGCGATGCAGTTTTCAATAAAATGTAGAATTACTCTATATAAAATATTAATTTTTTTAATTGAACAATAATATGAAGCAAGGGATCTGAAATGCTAATATAAAAATAGATAAAATTAAAAACATATCTTTATATGTAAGTATGGAAAATGTTTGTAAGTTTGAAATATATATTTGAAATAAGTCTAACTTATGAAATAATTCAATACATTAATATTTATACGTCCTTTTTAAATTTATAAAATTATTATGTTTTTTTCTTTAAATTTCTAAAATTTTTTATTTTAATAATTATATATACTTTATATTATGACAAGGTTTAAATGATTAATATATTTTTTGTAAAAAATGATTTTAGAATTAAAAACAAGATTTTGCAATTCATCGATTTATTTTTAATTTATTCGGAAGACAAATGATTATGAGATGTACTGAAGTGGCCTTTACATAAACGCAACGAAATGCCACGTCATCTATTAATAAAAATCTTGGTAGTGATACGTCACTCGTTGTTGTTTTCTACCCTTCGCAATTACTTTGATGTATTTTTATTCTAGATAATAAGAAAGAATAATTATATGATCAGCAAAGTAGTCAACAACCATTTTAATTAATTCTACACACACACACACACACACACACACACACACACACACACTCTCTCTCTCTCTCTCTCTCTCTCTCTCTCTCTCTCTCTCTATCTCTCTTTCTTTAAGAAAATATTTTAAGAAATTACAACAAAATATTTTTTAATTGTATTTTTGAAACTTTTAGATTACTTTATTTTTAATTTTTTTTTTAATAGCTTAAAAAGATATTACAATTCCAATCTATGCGTAGTTTCATATATTTATATATTTTGTTTCTATCACTTTTTCTTTTTCGTAAAAAAAGTTCAGAAATAAATTTATTGCGTAGTAAGTTCATTTAATATGTTACAATCTTAGTTCTAATACGTATCTATTATTGCCGTCAATAAATTAACTTTCTTTAAGCCAGGAATACGAATGATAATAAAATCTATCTACGATATTACAATCAAGCAATATTGAACGAATAGGCTCAATGACATAAAGGTTACTATCTGGATTTTATATACTTAGTGTTACACATACGTAACCGATTACGTAAGTCTATCGTAATTATACAGAGATATTGATTGAATCGTAATTATACAGAGATATTGATTGAATCACTTAATTGAAGAGTAAAACTTATTTCAGAAAAGCACGTGTCTGACCGTAGATATAATTAACACTCTATTTAATAGAATAGAGAGCATAAAGGAAACGACTATGTGAAAAATAAACGAATTCTGGGATTCTAATTCTAATTAAATATTTTTTTATATTTTTCGATATTTGGAAAAAAAAGCATGAAGAAAATTTAGCTTTCATCGATTTCATAATTTTGGCATATCTATGCTTGCGGCATATATTTCTTAAATATTTTTGTACAATTAAGATTAGATCAGTTAAAAGTTATTCTAGTTGCTTAAATTAACATTTATATATTATATTATATTAACATTTATATTATATTTATATTAAATATTTTGTTGCAGGTGCAGCCGCGAGTTACAATGAACAAGTTAACTCGGAAAAGACGTTCTTAACATTGTAAGTACTCTCATTATTTTATGTACACTATATTATATGAAATAATAATATATAGCATAAAGTTTCCTTGATATGACTATTTTCACTCGACAACATTTAAGTGTATGTACTTCGTCCTACATACTGCAAGTTTGTCATAAAGGTTAAGCGGTGCAACGATGCTAAAAGATTCTTTGTACCGTGATGAACTATCGATTATCCAAAATCCAAAAGCCAATGATTCAAGCGAGAAACATCCTATGATACTAGACCTTTAAATGGATATATATTCTATTATTCGTATATTTCTAATACTGCGTACACTATACATTAAATGGAAGAAATCTTTATTTATATGGTTAAATTTAAAATTTTTAATATTTGAATATTACATATCTTTTTGAGTTTACATGGTGTAAGTAGCGAACACTGCACTATCATGATACACAAAAGATATTTATTTATATCATCAGAAGCGTTGCACATAATACTATATTGTGTGTAAAAAAATGAACTTGGCCATTTTCTTTAGATCATATAACAAGGCTTCTGTACAACAAAGTGTGCAATGACGTCTTTTCCCAATGTCATCTTTTTTCAATTTTCTATGCGAGAACTGAAGCCGTTCGTTCATTGTAATGTATTTTTTTCTATTTTAATTTCATTCTTCTAACTTCCATAAATAAAGTTAACTTTGAAAGCAATTCAAAAAGAAATAGGAGAATAGATTCCTGAATCTAAGAATAAATTCCTGAAAGAAGGAAAAAGAAAGAAGATACAGAAATGGGTTTCCTCAAGCATCAGCGAAAAGAAATGCTAATTAGAATAATTAGAACATCATGTAGATAAAAAAAGAGATATGCGTGAAATATTCTTTTTTTGAAAAATACAAACAAGATAAAAAAACAGTTGGTCGCATTAATGATAACGAGTGTTATCAAAATAACAGAAGCAATAATGTATTATGCTTTTTCCTGTTTTGATTACATAGTACGCAGTTTTTTGTATGTGTTTTGAATTATAAAACAAGTCGAACATTATAATTATGATAATTTTTAAAAACAATTTTTTTTAATTATAATAAATCGTAATAAATCGTTAGGCATAATAAAAATGATTAAATTTTTGTCAACTCTGTATATTATTTATGAAATTTTCCTTTTTTAAAATTTTTTAAAATAATTTTAGAAATGGAATTTGCTTCATGTCATAGGCTGATAAATTAAAAGTCACAAAACCTTAATGCTTTATTTTGCAAAGAGGTTAATGCCCGATTAAGGTCCTGAAGGCTCTATTGAGATATTACGTATATGTGTTGCTTATCATGAGCTACACAAGTCGGTTAATAATTAACTAACTAAAATATCCGGTTAAACGAGTTCTAAACTAGCAAATTACATGTCAGTGCGAAGTCCACTCGAGTTTTAGTTTTATTAGGTGTTTGTCAACAAGTTCAACTTATTCAATTATTGGTAGTAATTTTTTAAAATTTAATTATATATGTTATATGTTATATATCATATATGCTTTATATAAGTAATTATTATTATAGATATTCGTACTTTTATGATAAACTGTGCATTAAATAAACATTAAATTTAGAGATACAACGTATATATAAAATATAAACTCCCTCAGATTTACGACATTATATTTAAACGTACCTCGCACGATTATACCAGGCAATCTTAATTCATAGGAACAATTTACAGATACGAGGAATGCGAGGTATTAAATGTCGGACTTCAAAGTCACGAACATAAAGCAGACACTATGCTCCCTGATTCGATACATTTGACGGAAACTAGTATAGGAAAGATGTCCGATGAAACCCCGGTGCTTTTAATGACGCGACACTGATCCTTGTTGACAGAATCGGAAGACGCCATATCTAGGCTGACTTTGCCGGAAGTTGGTGGAACATCGCGGAGATGACGAAGAAGTTCGAGTTCAACTGGCAGATCGAGGTGCCGGAAGCACTCCGTATCGGTTGCGTCTTCGATCGTTGGACGGAAGAAAAGGATAACACTGAAATCGAACTGAATTGCCTGTTCAAAGTCGACGAGTATGGTTTCTTTATTTATTGGCAGAGCGAAGGGAAGGTGAGGTTTCTAGTTTATTTGTCCATTTAAGCTTTTTCGCTTGTTTTGACAAAAGTGTCTCGAACACTCTTCACATCCCCTACGAATCCTGAATACATACTTTTATTTTTATCCTACTTCTCTCCCTTGCAGGACGGCGACGTTCTAGAGTTGTGTCAAGTGAGCGATATTAGAGCCGGAGGCATTCCTAAGGTAAAGTAATTGTTCCATTACTTCCAAGGGATCTCAAAATAGACTTTAGATCCATTAAAATTATCAATACAATTATACTTGTCAAAAATTAGTTTGCTAATTAAATTAAAAAAGAGAAGAAAGAAAGGAAAGAACATAGGAAAAGGAAAGAAAAGACGCAGTAATAATTGAAGACTAATAAAACTGATTGCATTTTAAACAGGACCCTAAGTTATTGGACAAGCTCAGCAAACATGGCGAACAGTTGGATGAGAAAAGTCTGACCATCTGTTCCGGTGTCGATTACACCAACATCAACTATCAGCACGTCGTATGTCCGGATCCTGCCACAGCCAAGGTAATACACATGTCGCACATTAATCGTGATAACGGCGGAAAGACGGCATCGACATGCCATTCGATTTCGGTCAAGTAAACTATTATTAGCGAGATATGACATTGCTGTAGCGTTTAGGATTATTATCGTTAATAGAATTATTGCTTTCTCACAATTTATCGCGGATATAAATAGCACAATATTATTATATCTGTAATACTAGATTATAATTGTAATTGTAATACTAGATTATAATTGTAATATTAATTATTAAGATCTTTTCACAGATCTTTTCATAAATCTTTTTATGAAATCTTTTCTTCCTGCGATATGCAACAGCGTGACGTAAACGTCATGATTACGCAAAACTTTTCGATCGATTTACCTCTCATAATATTCTTTTATCTTTTACCATTACGCGCTTCCATATCATTTTCAAGAGAATTTATCGCCAGTTTCCACTATAATGGGCAGGTGATAAGGAAATAGCATGAATGTGTCATACATGGTTCCGTATATCATATTACTATCGATTCCCTATCACGCCTTTATATATTCGCTGAATTGTTATCACGAAACTTGATAATTCAGTATCATTGAAACAATACACAGACTCTATGCTTAATTACTGCTCACGATATTATCATGTAATATTTATTCGGTTTTTACATGAAGCTTATTTTTTTTATTTTATTAAGAATTAGTAACATCTAACAGTTTGGCTACTTTTACATTAAATATGCTATAGCAGCAAGAATTTTGCTTGAACAGCAAAATTATTTCTCCCTGTAAATATAAATAACATTTATCTACTTGCAAACGTAGCAACACGATATCGACTGATAAGATAAGAATGCGGACTTTTTATCGCAATATATTTAACATATTCTCTCATTCCATAAAAAGAACAATCTATGATACTTTATTTGTCTATGTCGTCATAGGTATGGTTGGACGGCGTTCGATCGATTACGCACAACGTCAAAGCGAATAACGTTTGCCCGCTTACATGTCTGAAGAAACAGTGAGTTTGCCAATGCATTTATATACGCTTGCACTAATACATCTGTAAACAGTAATGTTTACCTTTATGAAATAATTAGCCATAAATGTGTTCCGCGACTGACATATGTAGCATAACTCTCGCATTCCTCTAATTCTTTTCTGACGCAAAAAGAGGGTATTTAATCTGCTGTAAATTAATAAGCAAATTTGAATTAACTCTCAGTAATTATTTTTTAGAAGTTAAGGAACATTAAAATTTTATTTTTCATAAATTTATATATTATTATTATTATATTTTTTTAACAAAATTTCTCTGGATTTTATGGCTTAAAATTTACATGTTATAATTAAAGTAGATAATATTAAATTATATCAAACTACTCATTTTTTACTTGCATTTTAAAAAAATAACAGAATTGTGAATAAAGCAACGACTTTTGCACAATTTAGTTGGATGCGACTCAGGATGCTGGTGGATCCTAATGGAAAAGTTCCAGTGAAAGTGGTCGCGAGAACTTTCGCATCCGGTAAAACAGAAAAGCTCGTTTACCAATGTCTCTCTGAGTTAGGCCTACCCAGCGGAAAGGTATTTTAATAATTATCAGAATAAATCATTGATAATATTTTTATATCTTGTGAAAACATTGCAAAGTCTTTTTTATGCTTAGAACGACGTAATAGAACCCGACGATTTCACCTTCGACGCATTTTATGCGCTTTATCATAAAATATGTCCGAGGAATGACATAGAAGAATTGTTTCAATCGATGTGAGTATTTTTTGAAGAAAATTTAAATTTAAAACAATGCATTTAAATACATATTTTCTGTATAGGAAAAATGGTACTTTTTTTTAATGGGAAATGGGTTAATTACTGAAAATTTAACATATATATATTTTTACATTTTATTTTCTGTAATACTTTATAATTGAAATCAATTCTAACACAATGCAGGCAGACTAACTCTTATCATCGCAACTGTATATTTATCTTAAAAATTTTAGAACACAAGGTAAGGCCGATACAATTAATTTAGAGCAACTTATTACCTTCCTCAACGAAAAGCAAAGAGATCCAACCCTGAACGAAATTCTCTACCCACTTTATGACGAGAAACGGGCAATGGAGATCATCAATGATTATGAACAGAACGAAGTTGTGCGCAGTGAAAGTAAGAGCTTGATAAACAAATCATGTATCCTTCGAAGCGTTTGCTTCGAACAGTCGACCTTTCTAATATTAGATAAAATCGTTCGCGTTTCTGAAGTAAAAAGTATTGATTCCGTTGTAGATATTTCATTTGTCTTTTTACATGCTTGATATATTAGAATATTAAGATATCAAAGATTGATTAAACTTTAATGAAAGTGTAAAATTAAGTTGTCTTGTTCTATCGACTAAGTGTCGTTTAACTCAGCCTGTGACTGAAGGAATAATGAAGAATTAATAAAGCTTTATTTGTAGTTTAAACAATTTTCTTTTACATATAACTGCTTTCAGAAACAATGACGAAGGACGGCTTTATAAGGTACCTGATGTCTGACGAGAACGCACCAGTTTTTCTCGACAGATTAGATGTTTATATGGATATGGACCAACCGCTGGCGCATTACTACATCAATTCGAGTCACAATACATACCTAAGTGGACGTCAATTCGGCGGAAAGAGCAGCGTTGAAATGTATAGACAAGTTTTACTCGCTGGATGCAGGTAAAAGATATGCTAGATATGCAAAATATGGAAATGATAATTATTTCCAATTTACGACGTGTATACTGTGACAATTTTCAGTAATTGGTGTACATATTTATAGCTATATTGATTGCACCGGATTACCAACGTATATATTTGAATGCATAATATTACATTGTTACATTTATTTTCCATATATCTATTTATCTTTATTTCGAAATGATACATCCCAGATGACAGACTGGTTTGTATTTTATAATAAATTATAACGTAATTTTAGAGATTAATAATCTTTATTTCTTCTTTATTACTTTATTATTACTTTTTATAGTTGGCTTAAGAATTACATTAAAGTAAATTTCTATGATATTTCGATGATTAATTTTAATTTATTAATTTATTTAATTTACTGTATTATTTAATGTACTAATAGTGAAATTATTATTACGCCATTACAAAGAAGAATTATTTCGTAATAATGGACAGCATGTATCTAATTATCAGATTTATGGAATTTTCTTCTTTCTGAATCTTTAGTTTTTTCTTTCAATATGAATTTAGGTGCGTTGAATTGGATTGTTGGGATGGCAAAGGAGAAGACGAGGAACCGATAATCACTCACGGCAAAGCCATGTGCACCGATATTCTATTCAGGGATGTTATATACGCGGTCAGAGACACAGCCTTCGTTACATCGGAATATCCAGTGATTCTCAGTTTCGAAAATCATTGTAGCAAGAAACAGCAATTCAAATTGGCTAAATATTGTGATGAAATCCTGGGTGATTTATTGTTGAAGGAACCACTAAAAGAATATCCTGTAAGTTCTTGTGTATTAAATAATTACATTGTAACATATTACATAAGGCCACTTTTTAAATGACATGAACCATTTTAATGTATATTGTTAGTAGTTATTAAACTATATCATTATGATAAATTTTATAATATCAACATATGACATAAAAATATAAATGGAATTTCTTATGTTCTGATATACTTTGTTCCTTTTTAAGTTATTTTTTTGTATCAAATTTGTGATTATGATAAACAAAATAATTACGCAAAATTTTATGATTTTTTTTGTATATATGATTTTTGTATGCATATGCATTTACGGTTTAAACATTATTAAAATAGCTGGAGCCAGGAGTACCGCTGCCACCGCCCAGTATGCTAAAACGCAAGATTCTTATTAAGAACAAACGCCTAAAGCCCGAAGTCGAGAAGCAGGAATTGGAGCTCTTCAAACAAGGCCAATTTGTGATTGAGGACGAGGTCAAGGAAGACGCCAGCGCGCCGCCTGTGGTCGCCGCCGTCGTAGAACAGCAACCGGTAAAGGTAACCTTCATTATGATCCTCAGGTTGAGCATGGTAGTGCCCTTCTACCTTCACCGAATTAAATGATTAAAGTTTCTTTCGGTAAAACGATGACAACTTTTTTTCAATTGCAGGAGGAAATTTCGGAATCTATAACGTCGTCAAGCATTCAACAGCAGCAATCTGGCATCGGTCCAATAGGCCTTGGAGAGAGCATAGAACTAGTAGCAGCTCAACCTTATACTGGAAGTACAACCAATGTACATCCGTGGCTGTCCTCCATGGTCAATTATGCACAACCTGTAAAATTTCCTGGTTTTGACGAGGCCGAAGGTTGGCAAAATTTTTGCATTTTTGGAAGAAAATTATACAGACATTGTACATATTTTTTATTAATTATGATTATACTTTATTTAATAAGTAGTGGCTAAAAGTTGTAATTGATATTATCGATTGATGGAATGCAATTTAAAAAGGAATTACTGTTTCAGAAAAGGTTATCCATTACAATATGTCTTCCTTCGCGGAAACGGCTGGTTTGAATTATTTAAAAACTTCTGCCATTGAATTCGTAAATTATAACAAGCGGCAGATGAGTCGAATTTATCCTAAAGGTACACGAGCCGATTCTTCCAACTATATGCCGCAGGTAAAGCTTGTAGAGCGCAATTTGTGGAACAAGGAGCACGAAGAAAAGTTTCTAAATGATCGATCGTTGCGAAACAGGTCTTCTGGAACGCCGGTTGCCAAATGGTGTCACTGAACTTTCAAACCGCGGATCTGCCCATGCAACTGAATCAAGGCAAGTTCGAATACAACGGATCTTCGGGCTATTTATTGAAGCCGGATTTCATGAGACGTGCTGATAGAAGCTTCGATCCTTTTGCCGAGAGTCCCGTGGATGGAGTGATCGCCACACAGTGCAGTGTCCAGGTTCGTTTTCCTTTTTTGATTGAGAATATCTGCAACATTCGCGATATTAATATTTTCCTTTTCTCTATCTAAAAAATGGAACAGTTTGTATAATATAGTTAATGCGACTTTTATATATTCTTCTTGTCTTTATTATTAAATATATAATGTATGTAATATTTTAAAAATTTTTATACAATATTTAGCAAATTTAATTATACCGATAGATCTTATATATAACATTTACTTTTTAATTATAGTTAAGCTTAAACATTTTTTTGCACATCTTATTAAATCATTATCTTCAATGTAATATATCATTACTGTGCTATTTTTTTGTATTTTTAACATAGTTATTTAAAATTTTTTTCTAACTATATATTTTTCTTGCCAATGATAACAATAAAATTTTATAGAACGTGTGATTATAATTGTAAAAAATAACAAATATAAATTGTAACAACTATTTGTATCTGTAAAATTCCAAACAATATTCCAATGAAAATAAGATAAAATACAAAAAAAGAACTTTAAAAATATTTTATTCAAAATTAAAAATGTATCTTTATTATATTATTACTGTTATTTACTATAACAATATTGCGACACAGGTGATAGCTGGCCAGTTCTTATCCGACAAGAAAGTCGGAACGTATGTTGAGGTCGAAATGTATGGCCTACCGACCGACACGATACGTAAAGAATTTCGTACAAGAGTAGTCCCCGCCAATGGTTTAAACCCCGTTTATAATGAAGAGCCTTTCCTCTTCAGAAAAGTCGTTCTACCAGATTTGGCTGCTTTGAGGTTTGCGGTATACGATGAGTCAAATGGCAAACTGTTAGGACAGAGAATCGTCCCTTTAGATGGTTTGCAGGCCGGATATCGGCACATAGCGTTGCGAACCGAAGCCAACTTTCCTATGTCTCTGCCTATGTTGTTTTGTAATATTGAAATAAAAATCTATGTGCCAGATGGTTTTGAAGGTATGATCGATATCAGTTAGATATCTTAGTCATGATCACATGATAAATAAGAAATTTATATCATTTATTCATGCCAATTGCTTACATTTAATTATTATGTTAATAATTTTAGTAATTATAATAATTATAATAATTTTAATAAGTTATATAATCAAAATTGTTTCTTGCTAATTGTGATAAAACTATTAACTATTTTGTACATATTTTATTTTTCTTTTAATTTTATATTTCTTTGTATTTTTAATATAATAATAAAGGTATATTTAGGTATATTTAGGTATATTTAAGATATAATTATACTTGATGAGAGCAATATATCTCTTTATCTTTCCAGAATTTATGGATGCTTTGACAGCGCCGAGGGCATTCAGAAAATCGGAAAGCATGTCGCAAAATAAAATGCGTGGTTTGGGGATTGAAGAGAGTGATAGCAAAAACAATATGGATAACAAAAATAATATATTATCTCATCATCATCATCATCAAGAAGTATTGAAACCAAGAGGTAATTTGCAAAATACAGAAATTGCTAGTTAAGAACAATAGAAATACGTATTTCTTTTATTTCTACAGAGGAAATGAAGTTTGATTCCATTACTCTGGAAACTCTGAGACAAGAAAAGGGTTATCAAAAAGTATTACGGAAACAGCAGAAAGAACTGGAATCTTTGAAGAAGAGGCACCATAAGGAGAAATTGTCAGTCCAAAAACAACATTGCGTTGCCATAGAAAAGATTTTTAAGGGAAAAAAGTTAGTCATTTCTCTAAATTCAAACTTATTTCAAATATACTTCTACATATATAATATAATAATACTTTTTATAAAAATATTTATCTAAATAATATATTTCATAATTCGCTTTTAATTTAGAAAACTTTCTCATTTAAAATATAAAAAGAAAATAACTTTTATAAACTTTCTTTGTAAAAAGAGAAGAATTAGATTATAATTTTTTATATTTTTTTGCATTAAGTTTAAATATTTGTCAGAATTTTGAAAGAAAGAATTTTTCTTCTCTAAAAAAGAAAATACTAAAATATTTTGAAAATACGGAAGATTCATGAAAATTTTAATTTTAGCAAAGCGGAGCTTTCAAGGGACCCCATTGTTCGCCGCGCCGTTTCTGAACAAACGACTCAGTGGTCGCGTCTCGCCGACAGGCAACGCCGAGAGGAACGCGATTTGGTCCGTGGACATCTGGAGGAGCGACGAGCACAGCTGTGCAAATTGTGCGTAGCCGCGCAGCTGGCACAGCAAAAGCAGCTGGCCGCACGTCACGATCGCGAGATGAAGGAAATCACTGCGCGGCAAGCGAGATTGTCGGTGGAGAGCGCCAAGGAAGTGATGAACGACAAGACCCTGAAAACGCGTGGGATCAAAGAAGGTAGACTCAGGGAGAAACAGCAGAATAATACGAAGAAGTTCTTGGAGGAACGCAAGATCGCGCAGATGATACAGAACAGAGAGAAGGAGAAACTAAAAGTGATTCACGAGAAGCAATTGGAGGAATTGCAGAAGGATATGAATGCGGTAAGGCAACAGACTCTCGCTAGGCTAAACGTTTTCCCGATAGTATAACTTTGGACTTATGTAAAGCGTTTCCAGACAAAACAATACATTTGATATTTAATATGCTTATAATTGTAAGCAATTTGTGCGATCTGATATTGAATACCTGAGCACCCATTTCAACATTTCATTTTAACATTCCATTGAACGATTGCTAGAAAATGACGAAAATGTTTTAGGTTTTTATATTTATATATTTAATAAGATATTAATAAAATATATTAATATAATGGAAAATATAACAGATTTGATAAAGTTGTTAAAAGATTTAATTTGTTATATGTTTTTATTTTATAGTTAAGTGAAATTTTATTTATTAAATGTTGAAACTAATTTTGTTCATCGTGTTTTTTACTTATTTTGTTATATGTGATCATTACATTTTACTTAATATTTTTATAATAAACTTATTCTCTTAAAATATTTTTTATTTTATTTTTCCTATTATTTGTTATATCTTATAAAAAATAAATTGTAAACAGTATATCTTGCTAATCTGAAGAAATAGGACAACTGTGCATTAGATTCAAAATATTTAAAATTTGAATAAATAGACTTTTAGAGAATTTTTGATAAGAAATTTTATTTAATTATAATATAAAAGTTTTTAAATTGTATTATGAAAAAACATTATTATATTTAATATTGACATTTCTTTAGTTAGTAGTAATAATTTTGGCAATTGCATCAACATAATTACTTTACAGAAATGAATTTTGACCTTTGGGAGACAGAAATATTTGGACTTAAATAATACATAAAATTATTAATATATCTTTATATATATATATTATCTTATTAATATTTTAAAAAGTTCTAAGAAGTATATACATACTTTGCTTTAAAATTAATCGTTATATGTATTATAATAAAATTATTATTTATTATGATACATATAACTAATGTTAATGTAAAATGAATAAATATAGCTCTTTTTCTATGAAATAAAATATTTTAAATTTAATAAAAAATTACAAAAAAAACTATATAAATTAATTGATTTGAATAAATTAATTGATATAAGAATTTAATTTCTCTAAAAAAATTCTTTTACCTAAACTTACAACATTTTAAATACAAAGTTTATCATTTTTTTAAATAATTTGTTTAGTCATACAGACAACTTTTTCAGATCATGGATATATACAAGAATGAAGACATGGATTACGAGCCAGCTAAGATGTTAGCTGAATTCTACGTGTGATGAGTGTCAGCCGAATTTTTCCATAATCTTTTCCTGTAGCGAGAAATGCGCGCTACGAAAGAGGACCGTTTTCAGACAATTTACTACTATCGTTAATTATACTTGAAATTGGGATCAAACTTCATTAGCTATCGTTCTTGTATCTATCGATAAATGTCGCATATTGTGAGAAAGATTAATATGCAACTACAGTAATGTTTCTAATTCATTCAGTCAAGTATTTTTTTATAAACAGACATTTTATGTCTCCATAGTCTCTGAGTACCTAGACTAACGAGGGAGTCAATAAAACTAAAGTGATCTAGTCAAGTATTAAATATACACTTATACAAAACGTATATCATGATATCGCGGCCGATCACACGGTGTGATGCACCGTGCGATTCGACGAAGTGAATATTTTTCGATTGTTAATGCTATTGTCGAAGTCTATCAGAATGGGAGATATGTATGCGTGTGCGCGTATGCACGTGTGTGAGACTGTTGTCTATATTTGTGAATCGATGCCTAATGCTGAGAGGAAATTTCTCTGTTACCGTGATGATTCCTAGACCATATATACCTTAAGTTGAGAGATGCTCTCATGGACCTAGCCGATAATTCTCGTGACTGCTAATAATGACTAGAATATTAGAGTGTTAGAGAATCTCGAGTCCGTGTAATTTACAGCCGAAGGCTGTAATTTGCAGATCGAAGAAAATGGCTCTTACACGGCTCTTAAATGAGTGGTCATAGGATTGTAAATAAATTTCAAACGAGAGCCTAGTATAATGATTATCACGTTGTTGTTTTCATTATAACGTAATGTTATTTACATAAATTATTATATCATCCTATATATACATATATATCTATATTGGATATAAAGGACGAAATAAAAAAAATTACACAAATCAACGTTCGCAATTATTTACGCCTATTGCGGGTATTCATTTTCTCGTATGTCGATAAAAATAGTATTATTACAATTATACTACAACAAGTATTATAAGAACATTTTACAAAACTTGCAAAATTAGTTTATTTTCTTTGGCAACCTAACGAGTCTGTTAGATATCTGAGAAACTTTCAATCAATTTTGATTTAATTGTCTAAATTAATTATACAGAAAAAGATTGCATTTTAATTATTTGAATACAATATTTTTTCTAATTTATTTTTATATATGATCAAAATCATAATGATGTTTCTCATGGCCGTGATCAATGTAATGCTCGAGTATATCAGATTTCAGTTTAACGTCAGCAACAGTAAATTCTTCATATGGAGCTGAAACAAAATAAAATAATAATAAGACGCAAATGATATATTTGTTATATAATAAGTAATCTTTTTTTTAAAATAATATATTGTAAACATTTTTAAAAATGTGCACTTTTATGGCGATTCTAATTAATGATTAAAGGTTCCAATTAATGATTTATTAATGTTGCATAATAATATTTTCTTTTTCAAACAATTGAAATAAGAAGAAAAAAATATTAACAGTAATTAGAATCATGTTAAATAAAATCAATATTTTACAAACGAGATGAATTTATTTGTAAGTTCATATTTTAATATACCCGAATGAGAAATATCGATGTGACTTATGTCATCGTGAGACTCCACGATTGGAATGACGGGCTCGTGATGGTGCTCCAAAGTTTCATGGATTTCAGCAAGATCTCCGTAATTTGCAGGAACTACTATGGTATCGTGATTATCAACCTGCATATTTTGATAACTGGTAGCGCCATGTCCATGATAAACCGCGTGATGCGAGTGATCCACATTTGTTATTACACCCGCCTCGCAAACGGCGATTATTAGTAGAGAGAGACACAACTGGAACACAGTAAATTTAAAATATATATTGAGAAAAGAAATTAATTGTTTTAATATTTTATATTAATTTCGCTAATGTATATTAATAATTCTTGCTCCACAAAACTTTTTTCAAGTACGGGCATATTAATTTACACGTTGTTAATATACACATATAACACATTAAATATGAATTTGTATTAATAGATTTGTATTAATACAAATAGATAGTAATTTGTACTAATAGATTTATATAAAAATAGGGTATTTTTAGATTCAAGTAATCAACTTTTCCGATTCGTTGTAACTCTCGTGTGAAAGAATAAGGTAAATTACATATAATTCTTTTATGCACAATCACAATTAAACTATGAATGAAAAGTATTATAAAATTAAGTTTTTCCTTCTATACAATCGCCTTCTCACTGTTTCCTTAATACATTTTTCATTCGTTCACTTACATAGTAACTCATAATGAAATCACTTCTCGGACGGCTTCTGTCTGTTTTACTGAAGGTATCTTCCCATGGACACCTATTTTATACAACGGTAGCCGCCTAATGTTGCGCAAGTTTTATGTGAATATTATACACCATGGGCGGATGTTTACAATTCGCTTCATGGCGTGGATTCGCGTGGACACGACGTAGCACGCTTATTCGTGGGTATGGGAAAGCTGGCCGGTTACGCCCGCAAGCCGTGCATGTGTAAGCCATTTCAAAACGTCGAGATAGTTTGCCGTTTCATTGCCGAGTTACGCAACCTGGACCGAGCGGTGTTGCACGTAAGTGTATGACGAAATCACACGATTCTTCGAAATCCTCGGGATCCTAAGAAAAGCTCACCGGTTCACCCGCCATTAATTTTAGCCCCGCTATCGATTCTATGCAATTATTGATCCAATAAAGCGGAAAGAAATATAAAAGATTCTCCAATTATCTGCGTGGCTGCTGTACAGTTAATTTCATCACTGCATTATATCAATATATATATATATATATATATATATATATATATTAATAATAATA